TGTCGACCCAATGCCTCAAAAAAAACAAAAACAAAGCTATATATGAAAATCTTTATAAATTCCCTGCTTTGATATTTAATATGAAAATACAAGCTATTTTTAATATGCTGGAAGGAGGGTGACGACAGGGTTGTGTGAAACTATGAGCACATCTGAAATGCCAGCATTCAGCAGACTTATCCGAGGCCCAAAGATCAATGAGTCAGATCTCATCAGCCTGCAGTGAATAAAAACACACTGAAAAGAGCCTCACTTCCCACTCCATAGCTTAGACTAGGCTTAAAGAAAGGCAGTCTCTTCAGATACTGCAGGCGTGAGAGAATATCTGGGATGCTTCCTTAAAAGGTTCCATATAGGTCAATGGATTTCAGTGTCTGTTTTAAGTGCTAGAGTTAGAGATTACACTGCACTGGTCTTACAACACTTCGACTGACAGCAGCCTAGAGGCTGTCAAAGAGGTTAAATGCAACATTTCTTATCATGTTTCTTTAAGATGTCCTGGTGCTTTCATCAGCCAGCAAAAGCTTTCAACTTTGGCCCAGGGTCTGTCTGTTATAACATAAGAAAAGTCATTTTCCTAATCTTATTGGAGTCTGTTTTTCTTTAAAAATATTAAAAAATCATCAAAACAAAATTGCAAAATTTTGTAAAATTGGCAAAATGACATCAGACTTGTTTTTAGGTAATATCTTAAATTTAATTAATTTTTTCCTACCCATTGGCAAATAATCTGTTCCTGTTTTCATCCTAAACCTCACTAGTTTAGTACATTTATGGTTAAAAAAACAATATTACAATAGAGTAATAAATGTAATTCAAAATGTATTCTAAATATCTAATAAAAAACTTAATATCTGAGCAAAAAAAATGTATGCAGTATTGCTTTTTGCTTCTTAGATGTTTTTTTTTTTTTTTGTGAAATATCTTACAGTATGGCTGTTTTGAGAAGTTTTCACACCACACTGCAATCATCCAAACAGAATGAAAAAACACTCCCAACCTCATAAACGCTCAGCCAGTACACCACATTCAGTTTGGCAGTGATTTTAAGACACGTCTGACTGCTTATCCCTTAATAACATCTTCATCTAATTCTGCTATGCCTATTTTCCATCCTGATATTAAGGATACACACTATAAACAGTACAGCAAAGGAATAACAAATGGATTTCTGAATGTTACAGTACATTTAAACCTCAAGAATTCACACCTTAACTAAAACCCAAAGGAGTCACGAAATAGAAATATGCATGTATCTATCGAAACGAGACGGCGTGATAGCACAGCCGGTGACTCAGACTCTCGGTTCATAAATCAGAGTGGATGAGCATCAAGTGGAAATCTGCAGATAGCTCATGATTATCATACAAACACTGTACAGACCAGGCTCTCCATGTTGACCCAGTGGCCCTGAAAACATTCAGTCTAAAAATGACCAGAAACACACAAAAAAAAAAAAGAAGAAAGAAAGACCAGGAAGAACCCATTACATAAGTCATACGAAGTTATTCTGAGAAGAAAATAATATTTATTGCTACACAGCGACCTAGTTATTTATAAATAAAAACAAGGGGAAAAAAAGGATTTATAAACAACAAAAACTAATAAAAATGCCAAAAACACACAGTAAAATTATTAACATTTTAACTAGAATTCAAATAAAAATTGAAAACTGAAATTATTAACAAACTACAATAGCATCTCAATGATACTAAAATATTACTGACATATGGTGAGTAAATTATTACATAATTCACATTCAAAATAAGCCATTGAGGAGTTCAAAACTGCTAGTTACCAGCTCAGATCTTATCAAAAGAGCATGTTTCGTTTCACACTTGGAAGGATTATTCAGAGAAAACCACTACAAATGCATGATGTGGCCAAGCTGAAAAGATTTTAAAAGTAGTGCAGGTTGAGAGCAGGAGTACTTCCTTTTCTGTAGTGTGTCGGAGTGGGCCGGGGTATACTATTGATCCTGTGTGTATTCACAGAACATGGTCCACCTTCAGATTTTGCTTTTGAACAGCTCAGTGGTCATGACCCAGTGTCTGATGGAGAGGAGATTACCAGAGACCGCCTTCACAAGGTGCAAAAGTCCCCCGGACAATGTGAGCACAAAGCGTGCACATTATTCCAAACTGTGTTGAGAAAGACTAGCTTTTGACATAAATAGCCATTTCTTTGACAATGAATCGCAATGTGTCAATGATTTGAATTCGGCTTTGGCTGACAATTATTCTACAGCACAACACCTCTTTCTTTGCTCAAAACACTATAATTTAGAGGCTATAATAGCAGTAACAACTGCCACAGGGCAATGACTAATTCCTTTGCAAATGAGCAGTTTCTTCCTGCAGGGCAGCCCATTTTAACAGCGTCCACATCTGAAGTCTGAATACTGTCTGATTACTCCAATGCAGTTTGCTTTCATTTGAATTCAAGGCAGTTTAGAGGCCCTTTTGTTTATGTTGATAGAGACAGACCCTAGAGCATTGACTCCAAGATTTGAAGGCCAGCAGAATATTTGCAATATTTCTGACATAGCTGCTCATTTTCAAACAATTTATTTACAGAAACTTGAAGTAAATATATTAAAATTATATAATAAAATAATTATAAACAATTAATTATTTATAGTTAAGACATATATAAATCTTAAAATATATATTTTAAAAAATGTAATTACATTTGATTATATTAATTTCCATGACCTTTCCCGGTCTAGAAATCAAACTTTTAAAACTCCAGATCATGAGAACCATGGTTTTTGAAAAACGAAAAAGGGAAAAAATTAAGGGAACAAATAATAACAAATATGATTTCAGCGAAAATGTGATTTTAGCTGATTCTAAACCTAGTTTTGTCTAATTTTAAATCATTTTAAGTGTGCTGATGCCCCCTAGTGGGTCCCAGCCCCCTGATTGAGAACCACTGCCCTACAAGTTAATCTACAAAGACTTTCACCAATTAATTGGTCATAATTAATCAAAAAAAGATTCATATGTTCAGCATACAGTATGTTGATTACTCATGCATTAACATTAATATTGCATAACTCAAAACTATGTATGAGAGTGTCTTATCATGCCATTAACGTGTTGTGTCGGTTTAGGATTCTGTCTACCGTTCTCTGTTACATCGGTCATTTCTACTCAGCATGCAAAGCCGTTTGCACAGATCTACCTGCCCTGCATACTGAACAGCCGCTCGTTCAGACTTATGACACACACGCATAAATGCACCGAGGTAAAGGAATGCCATCCCATTCATCACTTCAATCCATGACTGAATGCTTTACGTCTACAGCTGGATTTAGACAAGGTCATTTCAATGCCCTCTATCTACAAGAAATGACAGCTGCAAAGTTTTTCTGCTCGAATGCAACAATCACAATCCATTCTGCATGTGAACATTAAGGATGCAATGACTCACAGCATCCCTGAGGCACCAGGCCCAGATGTTAGCGTGAGAAGGTGAACCTCTTGCCATCTTATGAATTATGACAGACGTGATACACATGAGAGCTAAACAGACACGAGTTATGTAATAACAGGTCTGTAGTCAAGACTATAGCGGTCAATCAATATGAGCTTTTCATAAATAATAATGAAATCAAGCCACTATTGTGTTGTCTTAGAGTAACGTGTTAATTTAACTCCTGTGGTGGCTGAATCATACTCTTGGTTACAAGACTGCCAGTCTGTTTTCCAATGACGATATAATTCACCATGACACAGGAACACCAAAGGCAGCACGAGTCAGTCACAGATGATTGACAGATTGAGTCTCGTGCATGTTTGCCTGTTGCAAGCGTATCAGCGGTGAAGGACGGTGCCAATGCCTTGATCTACAGACGAGAAGATGACTTGTTAGGCTGCCTTGCTGGAAAATCCATCTTAGGCTGCAGGGTCTCAAGCTGGTCTAACATGGTCGAAGTTGATCATTAGCACTGACAAGACTATCTTAGACCAGTAAACCGGCCTAAGGTGGTCAAGATGGCTTTAAGAATAAGATGGAAGTTTTAAATGGATTTTACAACAGCATTCTCATATTTTTTGCTTAGGAAATAAACAGGTTACTGTGAGACCTACTCTTAGAAGAGTAATTAACCAAATGAATTAATAATTGAATATATTAAGTAAGTTGTGGGACCCTTACAGGGATAATTCACTGAAAAGAAATGCTTAACTTTCCCTTGCTGAACATAAAAACAGAAATTCTGAAAAATGCTTTAGGTGATTGAACATGTAAAACATGCAGAAGCACCATAATAGTACAATGACAATAGTATTGTGTGAGGAACAGATTAACATTTAGGTTATTAGCTATAATGTTCACTTCCATTGAGCTGATCATTGAGTCACTGATATGAGAGCCCTATCTGTAATACAAATGATTCACTGGAAGATTCAACACACGTGACATTCTGAATTCGGTTCTGTAGCCTACTCTAAAAATATTTTCATTAAACAGGGATTCACTTTCGTTACGTTCCTCACATTCTGTATCGCATGGCTCTCAAAGACTTTTAAGATACTTTTTTTTTATATATATATATATTTTTATGAGGCTTGACATCTTCAGTCACCATTCATTTGCATATAAAAGACAGATCTGTTGTTTTCCGCAAAATATATACAGTCAAACAGGTCTGGAACAAAATGAAGGGAAAGGGAATGATGACAGAAATGTCATTTTGGGGTGAATTGTCATTTTAATGTGAATATCAATGTACTGAATATTCTCAGATAAATGGAACAGTAACGCTAAAAAAAAAAATGCATTCGTTTTCGGGACGTCGGTCTTCTAAATGACCGGTTAGCTTAGACAAATATCACGGCTGACCTTTCCTTTCTCGCATGAATGAGAGTTGAGATCCCCACACGGCGTTTTATAACTTCAGAGCTCTGAAGCCACACGTACGAATGCAGAACTGAACTGACGGGCTTCCTGCGGTGCAAAACCCAAAACGAGTTCAGATAAAAGCAGACACTCACCTAACTTTGGCTGCCACCGAAGAAATCGCATCATTTCTCAGATTCTTCCTTTTGGACACTGCAGTTCCCATGCTGGCATGGAAACGACGCTTAAAAGAAAACAGCACATTCCAGATGTCAAAGCATTGGAGAAAACGCCTGGAAAAAATGATGGAACGGGTTGGTTTTGGGATGCGGATCCTTTTGCGTTCACATGAAAGTCTGTTTTTAGCATAACGCAAAATTTCTGGAGGTGATGCGGGACAGAGGATGCTGCCGTCTCCTCTTGCTAGTGTCAACTAGTTAAAGAAAAAACACGCACGAGCAGATCCCTCC